CTTTCAAGCTTCTATAGACTGTGGAACAGTTCCTGTGAATTGGAGCATAACTAATATAACCTCAATTTTTTTTATAAAAGGAAAAGTAGAGTAAAAGCAGGTAATTACACTAGTGAGCTTGAAAGCATTGGTAGAGCATTTGGAAGGCAGTGACAGGATTATACAGAGTCATCATTGATTTACAAAAGGGAAATTATGCTTGACAAATCTATTGGAATTTTTTGAGGATGTTGTTAATGGAGTGGAGAAGGGGAGCCAATTGGATGTGTTTACTTGGACTTTCGGAAGGCATTCAGTACAGTCCCACAAGAGATTAGCATGTTAAAATTAAAGCATGAGGAATTAGAAAAATGCACTGGCTGGGAGGCAGGCAACAAAGTAGGAATAAATGGGCCATTTTCTGAGAGGCGACCTATGCGGTACCACAGGGATCAGTGCTTTGACCCCAGTTATTTATGCTATGTATATTAGTGAGTTAGATGAGAGAATTAAATGTAACATCTCCAAATTTGCAGATGACACAAAGGGGATGGGGGCGATGGTGAACTGTGAGGGTGATGCATAGATGCCTCATTGTGATTTGGACCAGTTGAGCAAGTGGACAAATGTATGGCAGATGACATATAATGTAGATAAATGGGAGGTTATCCACTTTGGTAGCAAAAACAGGAAGGTGGATTATCTGAATTGTGATAGATTAGAATATGGGAAGGTGAAACAAGACTTGAGTATCCTTGTACACCAGTCGCTGAAAGTAAGCATGCAAGTACAGCAGACAGTGAAGGTGACAAATAATATGGTGGCTTTCATACTGAGAGGATTTGAGTACAGGAGCAGGAGTGGCTTGCTGAAATTTTAAGGGGCTTGGTAGGACTGATGTATAAGGAGAGACTGGATCAGTTAGGACTGTGTTCATTGGAGTTTAGAAGAATGGAGTGGCTGGAATTCTCATATAAATCTATAAAATTCTAATATGACTGGACGAAATAAAAGCAGGAAGAATGTACCTGATGACCGGGGAGTCCAGAACCAGGGGTCACAGTTCAAGGATAGGGATTTGGCTATTTAAGACTTAGATGAGAATTCTTTTTCACCCAGAGAGTTGTGCGCCTGTGGAATTCTCTGCCACAGAATGCGGTTGAGGTGAAAACATTGAATGTTTCAAAAAGGAGATGGATGTATTTCTTACAGATGAAGGGATAAAAGGATATGGGACGAAAACAGGAACAGTGAACTGAGAAGGATGTTTAGCTGTGATTGTATTGAATGGTGGAGCAGGCTCAAAGGGCTCAATGGCCTACTCTTGTTTCTATATTGTATGTTTCAGTGTAGCCTCAATGTAGTAAATGCTAAGCAAATGCTGTTTTTAAAAAACTTAAGTTATAGATTTATTACATGGCAACCACCCAGCCAGTATGTTACCCCAATCCTGTGTCCTTTAATTTTCATGCTAATCTCTTCTATGGGACCTTATTGAACACCTTCTGAAAGTCCAAGTAAACCACATCCATTGGTTTCCCTATATCAACTCCCCTAGCAACAAAAATTCCTCAAATTCCAGCAGATTTGTTAAGTATAATTTCCCTCTTGTAAATCCATGCTGACTCTGTCTAATCCTGTCACTGTTTTCCAAGTGCTGCAGCATTTTCCCTACCGATGATGTCAGGCTTACTGGTCTGTAATTCCCTGCTTTTTCTCTAACCCTTTCTTTAAAAAAATATAGGTTAGCTACCTTCCAATACATAGGAACTATTCCAGAGTTTTTTGAATCTTGAAAGATGATTGCCAATGTTCCCACAAGTTCTAGGGCCACTTTTTTAAGCACTCTTGGATGTAAATCATCAGGTCTTGGGATTTCACAGCATTTAATCCTATCAATTTACCCAATACCATTTTCCTATTTAAACTGATTTCCTTCAGTTCCTCTCTCTCACTAGACCATGTGTTCACTAGCATTTTTGGAATGTTATTTATGTCCTCCTTTGTGAAGACAGAACTAAATGTGTTTAATTATTCTACCATCTCTTTGTGCTCATTTTCACTTCCCCTGTTTCTGATTGTAATGGACCTTTTGCATCTACTTGTGAAACTAATTAATTCACTTAACTGCAAATGCTCCATGCATTAAGATAGAAACCTTAAGTCTGACTTATTAGCATTTTTAGTCCTGCTCTCCTTGTTTAGTATCATGGCTCAAATTCTCTGTCTACCACTTTTCTTACTTTCTATTCTGTCTTTTAGTTTTGCCCTTGTGTGCCTGTCTACTGTCGCCCTGTATAGATTCCCATCCCTGAACCCCACCCTGCACCCCCCGGGCTCTATTTTATTTTAAACCCTCCCCAACATCACTAAAATCTACTCCCTGTAGGACATTAGTTTTGATCCTGCCCAGTGCAATCCTCCCAGTTTGCACTAGTCTGACCTTCCCTCCCCAGAACTGATCCTAATCCCCCAGGAATCTGAAACCCTCTCCCGTGAATCCATTTCTCCAGTCAAGTATTGATCCAATACATCCTGCTATTACTACCCTGTCTAGCACTTAGCACCGATAGTAATCCTGAGATTACTACTTTTCAGGTCCTGCTTTTTAACTTGCTTTCTAACTCCCTATATTCTGCTTTGAAGACTCCCATCCCTTTTTTACCTATGTCATTGATACTGATGTTTTCCACTGCTGTTCACCCTCCCACTCCAGAATGTCCCTTAGTGGCTCCAAGATATTGTTTATCCTAGCACCCAAGAGGCAACGTACCATCCTTGAGACTCATTTATGACGACAGAAATGTCATTCTGTTCTCTTTACCACTGAATCCCCTATTACTATAACCTTCCCACACTTATTCCTCCTCTCCCATGCAGCCAACTGTGGTGCAATGAACTTTGTTGCTGCTACTTTCCTCTGAGAAGCTATTCCCTCCCCCAACAATATCCACATTGGTATATCTGTTTTTCAGGGGCATGGTCATGGGATTTTTGCATTGCCTGCCTAGTTATCTTTCTCAGCCTGATGGTCATTCATTCCCTCCCACCCTGTGGAGTCTTGACCTACAAAGCTATCACCTGTCTGAATGTGCTATCCACAACACACACACAGCCTTGTCCCTAGCCCCTGTTCCAGTTCTGAAATTCAGGGTTCCAGCAGCTGCAGCTGGAGTTACTTCCTGCACACCCTCATCCTACAATGCAAACTAGGTACTATCTCTACCTTAATCTATGATATGGGTATTCAGCACTTTGAGGCATCTAAAGGAATTTATGGAAGGAATATGGGCCAGCATTCACTTGTAACTGTGCAGCATATGTCTTTGGGCAAACAAAAGGTTTTTGTAATCTTTTTAAAGATCTTTGACAGCTGCATAGCAATGGGTTCAACGTTTGTTGAGCAGTAACTTTTCCTGGAATGTTTAGTCTAGTTGGTGAACTATTATTCTGGCAATCTTGACTGTTGAAAATACAAAGAAGGTTCTGCATGATAGCTTAAAATATGTCATGATTCTCAATTTTGTGCTGTTATAATATTCAAAACATTATACTATCATAAATTTAGTATGAAACAAGAATATGGCACAAAATCTTTTTGTGCTTGATTATCTTCCAAACTGGTTCACTGTAGCACTTAAGTTGTCTTGATAACAAAAATGACAAAATTGTGACAAAGCCATCTCTCAGCATAAACGATAATTTTGATCTACGTGCGCTTCACACTTTCAGAATTCTTCATTTAATCTGAAACCTGTTGAAATTACTTACCACTATTTAATTTGTATTTTTCAGCCCAGAGCATAGTAATTTTGTCACCGTATGTTGGAAACTGTAAATACCACAAATATTAACTGTTTCGATTTGGCTGTAAGGCAGCTTTTTAGTTCTGAATATCGCTTCTATATCCATGTTTCTTTCTGTCTAGGTAGTAGAAATAGCCACCCTCACAGAGCACAGGCTGACCGAGTGTGACATGAAAGAAAGTTTTGAGAAATGTCATCGTTGTGGTGAGGCAGTATCAAAAGAGGACCTGCAGGAACATCTCAAGATGAAAACCTGCAATGGTAAGAAAAAGGATGTTGTAACCTAATCAAATCTAGTTTTGCTCCATCCAAAAATTTAAGAATGAAACTGCTATTGTTTCTCTTTTAAACTAAGATTGATTTCATTAATCTCATTTGGATTACTTAAAACAGGCAATTGCTACATAAAATCATTGAATGGTCACGACAGTTTGAAGGCTTGTCAAGTCCACACTGGCTGTTTGCAAGAGCAATTGCACTAAGTGCCATTCCCTGTGACCTTGCAACTATTTCCTCTTTACATGGATGCTTATCCAATTCCCTTTTGAAAACCACAATTGATTCTGACTCCTTTAACTCTTTTTTTTAAATGGTGCTCACATCTTTTTTGGGTTTTTTTGTCAGACGCCTTAAATCTATGTCCTCTGGTTCTTGATCCTTCTGCCAATAGCAACAGTTTCTTTCTAGCTTTTCCAATGAGGCCAAACTA